TATATATATATATATATATATAATCAAGTTTGGGGACTGTTTTGTAAATGGCTTTATTACTATCATTTGATACTTTTCTCCCTCAATACTTTTTTGTGGCTGCAAGGTGGTCCAATTCTGTAAGACTTGCTAAGTGGTCATTTTTTGTCTCCAGAAAAAAAGAAATCATACAGATCTTTCCATGACCTTTTTTACGTACCCTCAGCGCGCACACACACACACACACACTCACACACACTCTCTCTCTCTCTCTCTTTCTCTTTCTCTTTCTCTTTTCCTTTTCTTGTTAAGATCATATATACTTTTTTATTTTCTTACCCTGCCATACTTAGCTACCGCATATAGAGGCTTACTATTTTATAGATGAGGAAGCCAAGGCTTAGAAGTTGAGTAAGCATTTCTTAAACCACATAGCTGCTAAGTGACAGAGCCAGCATTTGCACTGAGGCCATGTATTTGAAGTCCATCAGCTGAAATACTGTGGTGTACTTTTTAAAGCCCAGGGACAGGGGAGGGAAATTATATTGCAAAACAAATGGTTGAGCAAATAGTAAAGAATTTTTTTGATTGGAGCAATGACTTGTTAAAATTATATGCTAAAGACTATACAAATATTACAAATAGGCTCTATGGGAAATTATATAAAGAATTTTAAGAAAAATTGTATATCCCTGTTGATGTGAAGAATGAATGTACTTAGATTCTCATTGATTTGAACACTTGATAATAAACCTAATCAAGTACTGTCCAGCTATCCTTTAAGAATACAGCTGAGTGCATGTATAGAATTAGAAGGGGAAAAGTCATAGAATTCTGAAAGCAGACTTTTAAAAGTTCAGGTATACTGGTAAAGTGGTATAACCTGGTTAAAGACATTTTTAAGGGTGACACTTTAAATATTTTTAGATAGTGCCAGAAATGCACATATATTTTAAGCTGATGTCTAAAGTCTATGTTGTTCTTTCTTCCCTGGCCAGGCTGAAACACTTTTCCAGCAAATCTGCCCCAATGAAGACTTCTGTCCACCCCCACCAAATCCTGAAGACATTGTCCTTGATGGAGACAGTTTACAACCAGAGGCTTCAGAATCTAGTGCCACACAAGAGGTCAACTTAGAGCCTCCCAAGGAAAGTGCAAACCTGGGAAACCCAGAGGAACCCTCTGAATAATGGATTTATACCATACTGGATTCCCCACTTTGGAAATCCCTACTGGCCTTAGTCTTCTTGATGGAAGGAGTATTTGAAAAATGTTAGAAAGCAGCAGCCAGTTGATGTACAGAATCAGGAGAAATAGGTCATAGAAATCCAAAAGGAGATTTTCTTTACTGAGTACATTCCAAGAACACAAATCACTCGTAAAGCACATTGACTTGTCTGTTTTAGGATACCAAACCTGTGGGATTAGCAGATGAAAATTATAAATGGATTCCCAGGAATATAGCTATAGACATGAAAGTGAACCTATGCACTGTTAATTATTCTCTAGTATTAGGACAACTTTTGTTTGCCACATAGGATCTTTGGATTGAAAGCTACATCTTCAGAATCAGCTCACATACTTCCTTTAATTATTTAAATTATATTTTCTTTATGGTTATGAGCATCATGACATAATTGATAAAAGCATATGCAAATTCAGTTGAAAAAAACTAAAGTATCATGACCCAGGCAAGAGCCTCTGTTTGGAATATAGGTTGTTTTCTTTCATTTTCTATGTTGAGAAGTATTGAAAATGCTAATACTAAGGTGTTTAGACCTTAATTTTTACTAACAAATTGTGAGTCTATTGCTTAGTAATTTTTTTTTAATATTAGTAGTTGAAAGGAAAAGCCCCAGCCTGAGCACAAAAGAAACACAGCAGGAGACAGGGACTCAACCAAAGTGTACTAGGCAGGCAAAATGAACAAGCGGGCTGCCCTCTCGGAGGTGGGAGCAGCAGCAGGGAGAGTCGGGCTGGGCCTTTTATATCCAGTTAGGCCGAGCTGGACTGTTCCTATTGGCTAAGAAGGAAGGGGAGGGAAGCGAGTGGGGTTTAAGCTGAGTTGAGATTTTTCTGTAGGTGGAGAAATTCGCACGTGCAGGAAAGAGATGTGGTGGTGAGGAAGAAGGGGGAGGGGTTTTTTTTGATTCTCAGAAAACGTGCTGTTCTAGGGACCTGAAACTCTCCGCAACCATTTTGGGTGTTCCTCCCATCCGCCCGCCGCCATCTTAGACATCGCCTAAAACATAGTTGCCTAACATTCCCCCCCTCTTTGGTTTAGATAGGAAAATGGGCATCACCATCATCTCTGGCTACTTCCTGCTGAATGAGGGGCATCATAGGGGTTGTTGGAAGTGGGCACGTTGGAGTAGGAGTGGAGCAGAAGCTGGTTGACAGATACCCTAGACACTTCTCGAATTCGTTCCCAAGGATTGTAAGGGATATGGAGTTTCCAAGTGACACTCAGACTTTCGGAGACCTGCTGGGTGACACTGGAGGTGAAGGCTGGGCTGTTCAGATTGTTGGGTCCGTGAGAGGCCAAACCTTGGGATGATATATTTAATGAGTATAGCAGCTACCACGTTCGCTGTTTCTCGAGCTGTGGGGTAAGCCTCAATCCATCCTGTAAAGGCGTCCACCAAAGTTAGTAAGTAACAATAGGTTTTGTGACGTGGCATGTGGGTGAAATCAAGCTGCCACATTGGTGCCATGGCTCAGATGGGGTTTCCCAACTCCTATTGGGACCCCCATCCGTTTCTCTGCCCATTGCCTGGAGCCCACACCAGTGACAACACTCAGCCCGACCCTTCTTCCTGGCCGCCACCAGCACATCCAACACCAGCCTTCTAATTGGTGAGTCTTTGGATTACTTCTTCCATGTCTTTCTCTCTTTCTCTCTCTCTTTCTCTCTCTCTCTCTCTCTCTCTCTGGGACTTAGCCAAGGCGAGAAGAGGTTACCCTTTCCCACTCTCTCTTGTTCGCTGTGGGGTTTTCGTTTCTGCCAGTAGGCATTCGTAAGTCCCGGTGCCAGGTGCCCCTCAGCTCTACGGCCCTTTGGGGTCCCTCAACCACCAGGAAACCGGTGACGACCGCTTCCGGGGTTTGAGATTTCTTGGTACCCCATCTGAAGCGGGGTCACCCCTTTGGAGCCGGTACTTTCTCCTCCATTCTCATGGGAGTGGTGCCTCGTCTATCCCAGCTGACTCCCCTCTGAAATGTCTCCTAACTAACCTTCACACTTGGGCTTAACCCCAAACATCAAGCCAAAACGACTCATTAAACTCTCCACTCAGGAATGGCCCAACTATAACTTAGATAATCAAAACAAGTGGCCTCCCTTTGGGTCCCTCAATCCCGACATTCTATGGGACTTATACAACTTTTGTAAGCAATCAGGAAAACGGGCCAAAATTCCTTATATCCCAGCTTTTCTTACCAGCCACAGGAAACTATAACACCAGATGAACAAGCATTAATCCCAATTTTACCGTTTCGTCTGTTCAATTGTAACTGTATCATTCTTTTTTCCGGAGCTCCTGGAGCTCCCTTTATCCACTCCCTGCTGTCCTTTTTACTCACTGCCTGTTTTGCCTTCAGTCAACTGTATCTGCTCTGTCCTCGTCTCCAGAGCTCCTGGAGCTCCCTTTACCCATTTTACATGTGCTCGCTGGTTTCTCCCCCGCTCTTGTCTTTTACGTTCCCCCTCCCGGATTGGACCGAATTTTTTACTTTCTTTTTCCCTTTCTCTCTTCTTTGTCTTAGCCACGATCCACGGTTATTTCCTTTGCCTTTACCTGTCTTGAGCCTTTTTTCTGGGAGCTGCCCAGCGGGAATTATGGGAACTTCCCCATCTAAATTCATTTTAAGTGGACCGGCCTCTCCTTCCTGAACTCCGGGAGTCCCGCTCACATTTCCGAGCTCCTGGAGCTCAACCTTAACTTCTCGTCTGCGTCTCCTCCCTCCATCCAGCTTCTTCTTTCTGAATTCAACTTTAACTTCCTCCGCCTCCTTTGAGCTCCTGGAGCCCAACTTTGATTTCCCGTCTGTTTGACCTGTCCCTCCCGACCCTCCACCTGCTCCTCTGACTTCCTACTTGTCTCTGATACGGCGCCAGCGGCAGCCTTGCCCCGGTGTGCTCACGTCCCTTCTCCTAACGGCCCTGCCCGTCTGCCCCACCCTTGCCAACCATCCTACCCACCCATGTGAAAGCCCTTCTTACTCGGACACCCCCCTTCTTTTCACATCGGCTCCATTGGCCCTTAAATGCCCCTAAATTTTCAAATCCTCTACCCTGGCGGAAGCTATTCTCCTAGCCCCCCATTTTCTTTTTCAATCATTCCTGCCCTCAAACTCCCACTCCCGATCTGGTGAGAATGGCATTTAAAGTTTTTAATGCCCGGGAGGAAATGGCCGAACCTTAGACAAGCCCGCGTCCGGCAGGAGGTCCAACTCCAAACCCAAGCCTTGGTAGCAGCCCTGCGGCCGCCTGGCTCCAGGAGCCAATGGAAAGGGGTAACCCAGCGCCCCCAATCCGGGGGCCTGCTTCAAGTGTGGCGCTGATGGATGCTGGGCCCGCCAATGTCCAAATCCAAAAGGACCAACGGTGCCCTTGTCCTCAGTGCCAGAGGATGGGCCACTGGAGGTCTGACTGCCCCGGCATGGGAAGGTCTCTGGCGCCTCCACGCAGAGGAAACTCCGAGCCAGTAAGTCCTGCCTTTGGCCTGGATGACAACTGACGGGGCCCAGACTCGGAAACCCCTCTCACCCACGCCGAGCCCAGGGGCATGCTCCAGGTAGTGGGTAAGTCCATTTCCTTCCTGTTGGACACGGGGGCTACCTACTCTGTTCTGCCTTCCTATTTGGGCACCAGCTTCCCCTCTCCAGTGGCAGTCATGGGAATTGATGGCACCTCTTCTAATCCACAGACCACCCTGCCCTCTTCCTGTAGCCTGGATGGATTTCCCTTCTCTCATTCTTTCTTAGTAATTCCCTCCTGCCCCGTCCCCCTTCATCCAGACTCTTTTTTCCTTTTTGCCTCCACTTGGGAGGACCCTGACACACATACTTTGAATTTGCAACAACTTACCTGACCTGTTTTGCCACAAGGCTTTTGAGATAGTCCCCATCTTTTCGGCTAGGCTTTAGCCAAAAATCTTTTTTTTTTTTTTTTCCTTTTTGTCTTTTTTCGTGTCCGGCAACGGATCACAACCCTCAGTGTCGCGCCCGTACCGGACCGGGACCGGCAATG